TAATCGGTAGTTGCTTTAGTTAAGAAATCTTGTGAAGCTTAAATGTTACTAGATATAAGGAAAGTGCAATGCCCATAACTGACCACTACTTGTCAGTGTTTTACCATTTTAAGAGAATCATCTTCCTAAATCTCAATTAAGTTATGTATTTTCAGAGTCTTAACTGAACATGACAATACATTAGTTTCAGTCTCTCTTGCCTGTCCTGTATTTCTGTCTGTCTTTTGTATGATGTGTAAACTTTCTATTGCACTATTTTATTCATAGACTGATTATTAATCAAGATGATATGTAGTTGTATACTGACCATGAAGAAAGTTCGACATACAAACTTTTGCTTCTTTAACATCTAAGTTTGCATTATTATTTTGAGTCTATAGTCTGTATGTGCTGTATGTTTGTGGGTAAAAATTATTTTCTTTATATTTTTATGTATCAACAGCGTGTATTGGTGTGTTTAAACAGCAGTTACTGCAAATCAGAAAATTGCAATAAGCAAACAGAAGTTAATGTAAATCCTACATCTTCACTTTCATGTGTATTGCTGATACAAACATGTTTCTGATTAGAAAGGAGAACAAATATGCTCATCTTGCCAGTGCTACTGACATGTATATATGGGTTGCTTTAAGAAAATACACTTGTTGTGTAAACTAAAACTATCTCACTGCTTCATTTTGAGCATGAAGACACCATCACATTGTACTGTTTGCATTTATGCATCCATTTTCTAAACCAAGATCAAGTAGCATTCTTAAATGGGCTTTAAACAGCTTTTATATATATTGGGTGTCCTGGATGGGGCTTTATTAATTCCTGTGCTTGGCTTCCTGGTGTTTGGTGAAATGAGTCCATGTGATCATGCTTTGCACACTTTAGGTGAACAGAATCATCTTTATAGAACATTTTGAACCCACTGACTGTGATAAGGCAATGACTATATTTCTGTCTTAAGCGAATAACTTGAATAAGCCAGGAAGCATTTTTTTCCTTTGTGCAACTGGATACTTAGAATATTTGCATTCCACTGCACATGCTGTGAAGTGCAAGAGGCTGATGTACTTTTACCAGAGTGGGGTAGACTGACGGTCAAAAGCATTATTGAAAATTCTCTTTTTGAGTGTCTTTATGTTTGTCTAAAAAGATCTGAGATAAACTTTATCTGTGCTCTGAGCCATCTGGATGTTTAATGCATCGTTGATACTTGCTCCTTGGCTCTGTGCTATGCCACCTGTGACTAATGGTTTCTGTTTTGATTGTAGTTTGACTCTGTGTTGGAACATGATCAAGTCTCATACATATCTGTCACTGAAGTAGCTAGGCAGTTTGTCTTTAATGCCTGGCTGATGTGGCTAGGTAGCATACTTGGGTCCATGCTAGCACTAATGTAGCAAGTTAGGGAAAGAATTTTCATTCAGATTAGGATGTGGTACACTTTTGCCTTACTTTAAAATATAGCATGAGGCTGTTCTGCTTGTGTATTTCTGCTAGTATGAATATAATTCACTGATCAGTCTAACTTTGAAAGAGCAAATTTCAGTTTGTGGTCTGTGCCTTACTTTCAAATAATCTGGTTTTATTTAAAAAACCAAAACCAAACAAACACCAGAACCCAAACCCTAACAAAAGTTAGGAGGCTTAAATTGCAGTAAAAGTTATGATTTGCTATTGGAAGATTTTTGTAAGTTGGAAAGATTGAGAAATGTTGTTACAGAGGCCTCCACATAGTTTTCCTCATATATAAGAAAAAATATCTGTCTAGCAGGAGTAAATTATTTTATCTGTTTGAAGTTCTGAGGTTCTGTATACACTGTGTATGGATGAGGTATGTTGAGCTGGGGTATGCCAGGTATGTTAGTATTCTAATACTGTGTTATGCTAGTGAACTCTCAAAAGGCCTGTAAGAATTGCTCTACTGGGTTAAATCAAAAGTTTGACCTGTCAGAGGCAAGAGCCTGTTTCTGACCACCTATGCAGGTAGTGTAACATCTAGCTGGTCCACCCCAAAACTTTGCTGTGAACACCTTTCCACATGGAAGTTTTCATGTGGCCTCCTCCATGCCTGTCCTCTCCAAGGCCTCATCAGCCTCCTTGTCAGCTTCCTTCTGGCCAACTTGGGCATTAATAATTTCAAGGGGAGGATCTTGGTGGGGGAATCCTAATGACTGTAGGTCTTTTCCTGTTCCTTAGTGCTTCAGCATTGCCAGGTAGAGCTCTCCTGGGCAGTGTCTGCCTGCTGCTTGGGAGACATCAGGGAGGAACTGTTGTCCTCAGCATCCCCTTCCTAGTTCCCATTTTTGACATTTGACTCCCCCAACCCCTTCTTTGGAGACAACAAATGTAATCAAAGAATCAGTTAGATCTTTACATAGTGGTTTTTAAAAATTTTCCTTTAACCCTTCCTTTCCTTAGAGAAGTCTTTAGTGGAGGAAGAAACAAGAGTGGCATAAACTAGTGAGGATTATTTTAAAAGGAGTACAAGAAGGAGGGAGAATGTAGAATTAACATTCTAGCTGATGTTTGTCTGTGGATGACCAGATGTTTCTGTTTCTTAATGACATTTTGAATGGTTAGCTGATTGCCTACCTAAGCACCTGCTGGAAAAAATGCATGTTTCTCAGTTGAAGCAGTGCTCATGAACTATGATTAATTCATTATAACATTGCATTCTTTTTGCAGTATTTTAATTTGGATATATATATCTCTATGTAGATATATATAAACTGTTTTTTTTTTCTTAGAAATTAAATGGTTACAAGCTATGTTCACAATATGTGGAAAATAAATCTGAACATCTTATCTGTAGTATTAGTGGTAGTAAGGGCTGCCTTTTTATATGAAGTTATTGTATTTAATAGCTCAAATATAATTCAGTTGATCCAGATAAGTTGAAATGGCATTTTAATTTCTGTGGTTTCTTCTGAGAATTAGGGATGTGGTACTGAGGCAGAGACATACTTTTTGCTTTCAATAAGGGGAATCTTTGAAAATTTTCTTAGTATTCCTAATTCTACTGTAGCTTTAACATTTTCCTTATGATGCTGACATCTGTAGCAAAACCTGCCCATGAAAACTTGAATTTTGGTCCTCTGTTAATTATTAATTTAGTACCAAATATAAGCTTGGCATAGAGGTGACTGTATATAACAGAGCTTCTAAGTTTGCTAGTAAAAACGATGCTCAACTGCAGTTAGTACACCTTATATAGCCTTTATAGGCTGTTCTGAACTGGTACTTCTTGTCATTAAAGAAAACCCACCTTGTGCAGCAATGTCATTAGCTGAAGTGATGATCTTTGATTTTTGTTCGCGCAGCTTTATGGGAGTTCTCCACAGAGTATTTTTGAGTAAAATGGGAGTGTGTCAGGTCTGTGTGCAGTGAGTTTTATAGTTGTCTGGAGTCATGGATTTGAATCTGTGCTGAATACGTAGAGAAATATTTTAAATATGTTAGTCTTACAGTATCTGAATATGAATCAGTAAGATTTGAAGTGTAACTCATTATGTAGCATAATATTTTCAGTGGCATGGTTATGATAAGTATCTTCTACAATCTCAGTTTTTAGTGTAAACTGTTCGAGCAGGAGAGTAGTCCAAGCTATACTGAAATGATTGTTTCCTGCATTGAGAACATAAGACTGAGATAAGTATATAAATCCATTTATTTTCTCCACAAAGCTACCTTTAGAAGTAAAACTTGTAAAGCTGAATGCCTGGCTTCACTGAGATTAATTAATATCTTGCTTCTGTTTTCATACAGTGAAATCATTCCCCAGTATACAGTAAAGGAAGAATTTTCAAAAATGGAATGAAGTTGTACTATTTATAGGGGCAAATTTCAGGGATATTTGTTTAAGGAATTATTCCTTTAAAATGCAAAATAAAAATACTGCTCAGGAAGAAAAGACTGGAAAAATGACATTTCTTTCTGGACAGGCTATGTGTTTCTGTTATAGTTTTAGCAAGTAATGGTGGAAGGAATAGATGTACTTATGTTTCATGATACTGGGTGAAAGGTATGTGCTAAGGTCTCTGGTTTGCTAGTATGAACACTGCTTCGTTGTGTTGTGCAGCAAAGAAATTAACACAGTTACTCAAAATAAAAATCAAATTCTATCAGTATGGCTAGTCATCTCTCTCAGCTGGTGTTTCTAAGTGATATTTAAGATGAACCATTGTCATTGTTATGGTTTGAGATAACCAAACTTGGGTTGTGTATGTTGCAAATTGTATCTGTCATTAATGTCTGTGATGTCTAATCCATTCCTTTGCCTGTGATTGGCTATATTCTGCAGATAGTGTTGGTTTGCAGAGTGAAAAGATTTTGGAATTAATATTCAAGGCAATTTTATTTTTGTTTAGAAATATTTAGAAAATGTCTGTGGTTTTAGATACTTCAGTATCTAAATCCATATGGATTTTTTTTTTTTTCAAAATAAGGCACATCAGTGTCAGTAAGTTTTGATCAGGAAAGTTTAAATTGATTCTGTCTTAATACTGGGATTCTAAGCATCTGTCCAGATTCAAATAAAAATAACTTTTTCCTTTTTATGGCTTCTAACACAACCTTATGGTAATGTTTTCCTTACTTCAGTGCACTGTATTTCATATCATGCATATTTTATATTAAAGAATATATTCTTTTCATCTGACATGTCACAGTTTATCTGTAGGGAATTTCTTGAGCTTCTTAGACCTTCATCTCAGTGTTTGGAGTCAGCCTTGAGTGTTGGGAGCTCTATACATCGGAAGGATGTTAGTGCTAGTTTTGACTGTATTTGGCCCTGTTCTGTGCATGGGTGTGTTTATGTATGCGCAGACATATTTATTTTCTCATAACAATATACATTGATTCCACATGGGAATATTAGACGTAGACAGAAAGCATTTGTCTAGATCATCTTAAATATATCATCAGATTCTTTCATTTTTAACAGACTTACAAAGAAGACTTCTGTAACTTTTATAGTGAAGCTCACAATATGTCTTTCCCCTCTAAAGGCTTTAAGGAAGCAAGATGCTAAAGCAGATGAAACAGAAGAACTCATGAAAAATAAACTCGTGAAATATCAAAGTGAAAAGAACCAAGTAAGATGTAATTTTCTTCTTTCTCGTTTGGTTTTAAAAAAGTGTGTGGTGTCTTGTATTACAGTATATGCTTCCTTTTCAGAGAAACCAGCAGCATGAAGCTTTCTTTTGTTATCAGAAGTGGTTTTTCTGCACCAGAGACAGTGTGAATATAGCTGTTTTGAACTTCTATCTTTCCTTAAAAGTTCTTTAGTTATAGTGTTCTTTTTAATGACTCTTCTATCCTGCCAGGCAGACAAGCTTATAATTTTGGGGATTATCCTTGATTTCTTTCTTTGATTTCTCTCTGAATCTCTATGTAGTCTGCTGTTGCATATTTGCAGCAGCTCAAAGATGCAGGTTTTCTTCATTTCTACAACTAACACATGCTATTTTTCTTGCACCATTATTCATTGCTCTTACTGAAATTTCTGTTGTGATATGGCTCTCTTCCTTCTCACAAAAACCAAGATTTCTTATGTTTCTGACAGGATGCTAGGGCCATTTTACACTTTTTCTAGCTTTTATTCCCTTTTATATTGAGTTTAGCCTGTGTGGCAATACTTTCAAAGTTATACACCTTTATGCTAAACCATCTATGTAGTGTTTTATGTTATGTTACTCTCTCTATTCCATTAATGCTGGTCTTGTTTACTTTGCCCATTTGCCAGCCTCTCAACATCCTCTTTGAGATTATCTCTGCAATAACAATTTCCGCTGTCAAAAACTATATTTATTTCCATGTGGATCCTTGTGATCTTTGAACTATTTATGGCAGAGGTCAGAAAATGTTTTGTAGCTTTTGTGTTGTTGTTCTCTAAATGGTCATCCGTTTGCTATTTCTGATTAAACATTTTAAAATTCCCTTAATCTTATATTTTTAGGAAAAATCCCAGTTGTATGAAATTCTGAGCACTTAAATTTCTCAGTCATCTTGTTTCCAGAGAAATTCAAATACATCTTCTGAAACAAACAACATAGAAAAAATGTAGAATTTACCAATTACCAGTTCTACCAATGCATGTCATCTTTAATACTTTTATGAATGAAGTATGGAACAAAGGTGACTTCAGATGTTAAGTCATTGTTAATTTTAATTTGAGTTTAAAAGTATGTTTCAAATCCAGTGACAATGTATTTGAAACTTATAAAAAAAGTCTTATCTTCCTTTCAACTTAGAAAAAAATTGATTTTGTGCTTTTTTTTGTTTTGGATTATGTATACCACTTTGGATCTTAATGTGATATGGAATATTGTATAAAATTTGTAGTCTGTAAATTAAATTTTCTTTATGTAATTTAAACAAATATAGCAGGGTTTTAGGGCAAATGAAAGTTTCCTCTAAAATTTTGGACAGTTAAGAATAAAGTGTATATTATACCTTGTTTTAAGTAGATGCTTATGTTGTTTAATTTGTGCCAGAACCGAATAGTTAAAATACACTTTTGTACTATGATGCATATTTTGCTTTTCTTCCTTAATCTTCTGTAATGAAAGCTTGAGCAGGAATTGGAGCAGTCCCGGAAAAAGTTGAATGAATCAGAAGGCAGTAGAGAAGCTCTTTTGCATCAGGTAACTGATGTGTAAATCCTGAAGTCTTCGTATTAGGCTATGTCTGAATCTTTTTGCTTAATCTTCCTCAGATTACACTGTTTTGGGAAGGGAAGGAGGAGATATGGAAACACCAGTTTAAGAGTCTAAAACATGTGGACAGAGCCTTGATATACTTTTACTGCTTTCCAAACTTTTATGTATATATGTTCATATATAATAATTATACTAGTGGTAGAAGTTATGGTACTTTTAAAGAACATAAACATATTATTTTTAACTTCCTTTCATAGTAAGCTTTAGAACAACTTCTATATTAGTAATTATTGTTATACAGAGTATTTGCAGTATTGTATATGAACATATAATAAAATATAAAAAACACCTGAAAAATCTGTCTGAAGTGTGCTCTAAACAATACCTATTGATGCACATATGATTAGATTTAGAAATTGCAGGAACAAGGATTATAGCTTTAGAAAAGTGTCCTTTCTCCTAAACATCTCTAATCCTTCCTTCTTTCAGAGGAGCTGGGGAAAAAGATTGAAATAAATAGGGACAAGGCAATTGGCATACTTACCTGTTAGCATTAGTTATTTGACTTCTGTATCTAGTAGAAGTTCAAGTTGTCTGTATTACTGTTCCAAATTTAACTCACTGTGCATAAAATATAGTTCTGTATCACCTAGTGTTAATAGAAGTTGGAGCTGTTTTCCTGCAATTCAATTTTAGCATGTCATATTCATTTTCCTGTACATAATGTCATCTTTGAAAGTGTTGGCCTGTATATGATAGGAAAAACATAAAATGCTCCTGTGTTTCTTAAGAATAAATACATTGTATTTTTGACTAGAATTTAAGTAGAGTATATTGCTTATTAAATTTGTTTAGATGTTTTCACTAGCAATGTAAAAAGACAATTGCAACATATGAAATGGTAACATTTTGTTTAATCTAGAGAAATTAATGCTTGTCTGTGGTCAACATAACAAATGTTTCCTTTAATTTTGAGTAATCATTTTGTGGCCTGTAGTTGGGAAGTAATTTGTCTTTGTTTACCATCTGCAGTAGTCTTGAAATTTATTTATAAATATTACTTGTGTATAGTCTTTTTTGGGTTTTTGGTAGCATTGAATAAAAGTATGCTATTTACTGTTTCATTCTCTTTCATTAAACATTTGACATGTATTTTAGGTTGAAGATCTTCGTTCTCAACTTTTGAGAGCAGAAGAAGACCGTGTGGAGTTGCAACATCAAATTTCACATGTTGCTATGCACCGCCAGAGCTACCAGGATGTACAAGATGATGACAGGAGAATTAGAATGGGTACAACTCTGATATTTTGTACTAGAGGCCTGCAAATTAGTTAGACTGGACATTAATTCTGTCTTTGAGTTTCAGTCTAAGTATTCTACTCTTTCAACAAAAACAGCCTTTTAACTCCTCAGCTTTAAGTTAAGTACTGGCACCTGAATATTAAAAGATAAATCACAATGAGAGTTAAAATTTAGGTTAAAGTATACCATGAATTGCATTTGAAATATTTTTAAATATTAACTTTTCTGAATTAATACATTTTGGTCCATGTGCAGCTTAAATTCTGCCATCTTGAAAATCATAGCAAAAGTCATTTATGTAGCTGGTTAATAAGACTGATGTATTTCTGGTAGAATTTATAAGGAGTTAGAATAAGTTCCAGAGAGTTTAAGAAATTTTTCCAGTATGATGCAGTCAGGGCTTCTTTTTGCAGCATATTAGAATTTTAGAGGTGTAACAATGATATTTAGAAGAAAAATGCTTTAAAAATTTAAAGATGTAATTGCATATTAAATTACCACTTTAGCAAGGTCTTTGCTACATTGTTAGTTATCTATCTGTATTTAAACTTTTCAAACAATCAAAAAGGCATTAGAGAAAGTCTATCTTTCTCCCTATTAACACAGAAATGTATTACTCAAGATAATAGAGGAATAGTGGCTCCAAGTCCAGTGTCTCCATGAATGTCTAATTGGTTTGGTTAATAACGTACTTTTGTATTTTCATACTTCAGCTACTGAATTATCTTGGTTATTAAAATTGGACTCTGACACCCTGTTTTACAAATCTCATACAGAGCAGTGGAAAATGGCTAGATTTTGTATGTGTCTTAGCTTCAGAAATGTAACACAAAAGAGTAATTTTAATAGTTTTTTCTTCAGTCATGCTAATGTATCTTCTTCAACTACATTTATTTGAAACAATGTCTTTCATGTTAATGAAAGCGTATTTTATTTTTTCCATTTGTTTTATAATTATAAATCAAAATTACTGTAAAAATATTGAGACAAATGTACTGGAGCTATTATAGATAACATTTAATTATAATATTATATATCACATTATGGTATCTAATATGTAATAAGAAGTATATATAATATTAGATATCATATATAATTTATGCAATTGTATTTCTCCTTATTGTGTTATTTCTGTTTCTTCAAAGATGCATGGGAAGAATGCAAATGGAGATTTTCTTTGCCTTTAGTAGTTATTTATGACTAAAGACCATTATGTTTCTGGCTGAGGAAATTTACAGTTTACTCTCGTCAAGAACTTCTATTGTAGTTGTAGGATTCAGACATAAAACTCACAGATAGTGTGACTTCCGAATCAGGAGGTATTACTCTAGTGGGATAAAATCTTGGCCTTGAAGTTTGTGGCCAAGTTTCATTTACATCAGAATCTCCTCATTGTTTATTCCATCCTTTTTTTATTATTATTATTATTATTGGGTTTTGGATTGGGGTTTTTTCCAAAAAAAAACCCAACCAGAAAAGAGGGGAAAACTCCTGTAAAAAGACTAGATAAACAGAAATACTGTCTCATTCAGTGAAAGATTGATATAGCTATAGCCATTTTCCCAGATACTTTGATCAAAATTGATAGTTGTAGAATAGTCTCAAGTAGAGAAGAAAATTTCTAAAAGAGGAATAAGAATAAAACGATTTACCACAAGTTGGTGTTTCTACTGGGCCTGTTGTTCTGTTCTTACTGTTTCATAGTAACTGAAAGATATGAGAGAGAGAAGCAAGAACTGGAGAAACATATTTTGGACCTTAAAGCAAAGCTGAGTCATAATGCTGTAATGTCAGAGGTAGAAGAACTGAAGAGATGCATAGAGACTAAGGACAAAGAGAAAGCACAGCTTGTAATGCATATACAGGTAAGTCGGGTTTTTTGGTTTTTGTTTGTATTGTGTTGTTTTTAATAATTTCCCATATGTTTAAAGTAGGTCATATGCCAGATTAAGGAGTAACCTTTAAAACTAAGATTAACTGTCATGCTATTACTTTATAGTAGTAGAATAACAAAAATAGACCATAACTGCCCTTTTTTTAGCAATTCGATGCAATATAATTATTAAATTAATAAGTATTAGTATTCTTATTTTTAGTAAACACTATTTAAAGTGATTCACTGAGAAGAATAACAGTAATCTCTGACACTGGAATTTTAATTAGAAGACTTTTACCTTGAACATGAAATGAGATCTAAGGAGGCAGTAGTCTTTCTTTAAGACAGGAGACTTCTGTATTTTTGGATCTTGTCTAGATTTGTCATTGCTAGTAAGATCCTTGAACAGTAACTGGTGTTTACTGTCTTTCATAAATTTCAGGAGAAATTGGGATGTTTTCAAAACCCTGTGTGGAATTTCAGTAGTCAAGTACTTAACCTTTTACTTGCATTGATGTTTTCAGTAAGCCAGGGGTTTTGCATTTCATGTGAATTTTTCTAATGAATGTACTTGTCTTGGAAATGGTCTTGTATCACTTTGGAAATTCAAAAGTAAGAATTGTTTTTGTTCTTTTCATATATTTACATATACTGTTCAGTTTACTTCTGCTGCTCGTTTTCCTTGTTAACTTCTGTACTGATTTAAATCAAACAAATACATCAATTTGCATTTAGGAAAAAAAAAGTCTCAAAATAAGTTCCTACATGCTTTATGAAAATTGGTCATTTGAACAGGTTTGAAAAGACCTAGCGTGCTTCTACAGAGAGTAAGGCAAGCAGAACTCATTTCCTGATGCCCATCAGCATTTGTGTTCTAGCTGGCCAATACAACTCCAGACTAATGTGAAACATGCTGTTTTTTTTGTTTTGGGGGGCCTGATAAATTCCAATTACATCAGTGGCAGGAGTTAATGGGATAAAAACCCATAGAAAACCATTTTTTTTTAAACTTCTGCTTGTAGAACATGCTTTCTTGAGGGTCAGAATGATGATTCTACTACTAATTTCCGTTCTGCGAAAATACTGATGGAAGAGTGCTCAGCTGGGGTCATTGTCATTGCTCTGTATTAGAAATCTTTGATTTCCCTGATTATCTGAACAAAAAATACTTTGTACTTCTTATCTGCTTCCCACTGCCATTCTCCTACAGAGGCAGTAACAGGAAAATAGCTACTGTGTTTTTCTTTTAATGAGACATCAAGGAATGCAAGGATGTGAATTTCTAAACTTATGTACTAACAAAGCATTTTGTCAAACCTGTTCTGACAGCTGCTCCTACCAGATAGTCTGATTCTCAGTTGGAAATGGCCAGTCATGTTTGACTAGAGTGTAATTTATATTTGGTTAGGGGGGAGGATGTAACTGCACATGCCTCTGGCTTACATGTGATATTAGAAATTCCTTTTGATTTATTTAAATGTCATTGTTTTCAACAATTTGAGTTGTGTGTGGTGAACATGTAGTCCCTGACAGTTGCCATAAACTCATAATATGATGTAAGTTGGAGAGGATGAAAAAGATTATGATTACATTCTTAAACTCATGTTTAGATTTGAGTTCAATCTTAAATCAATTTTTAAATTTAGAAGAAAATTTGTATTTAATTTGTTGTAGTTTACCTTGGGATGCTTCTGTAAGATCTTGAAATTTATACAACTATCTTAAATATCTTTTTCTTCATGGAACTATATAGATATGGGGCTCTAATGGCTGACTATTATGACCTGACAATTCTGGCTAAGAAATAAACAAAGTACACAAATTATAAATATGAAGTACCCTAGTTTCTCCATAAGCATTTTTAGACTCATGCTTGTGAAATTATTTGATTTACTAATTACTTCTCATTCTAATTACATCAAAGTAGTCTTACAGTGCTGTTCAACAGCATGTACCAGCAGACAATCAGTTTGCTAGAATATTTCAAATTTTCTGAGGGCAAGTTACTGATTTGTTTATTTAAGATTAGAATTCTTCAGTAATATCAGCTTTTCAGTCTTATTCTCATTAAAATTCATTTTATGGGTTTTTCATCCTCTAGAGATGAAACTGTTAGCCAATTACTTTCATTCTATGAGCCAATTAAAGTAGCTGAAAATTAATAAGTAACACTTTTCTAAGTTTAAAGAGATCCTCTTACAAAATAAGAGAAATCAATACCTTTGCAGACCAGCTTTTATCATCATGTCAATGGAGTTCAAATGCTGAAATAGTGGTTCAGATAGATTTAAAATGTACATATGCTATTCACTTTGATAAAGTTTCTATCTAAAATCACATATCAACCTGGGAAGAAAAAGGTGTTTTTGCTGTATCTTGTATTTACATAAAACATTACTTGTCAGAATGAGTAGCAGTTCAAGCTTTGGAAAAATATGGAGAAGGCATCACTTTAAAAAATCGATTTTGTGCAATGTACCTTATACTGAATGAATACACTTCTTGACTGATTGAATGCATCTTCGATTATTCAATTCACAGAATTTATGCTTGCATGAAAAATCTAGACATTCCAGATTTTTGATGGTTAGCTACAATGATTGGCAAGAGATGCAGATCAGATTGTGCCGAATATATTTGAGGTCTGCATTCAGGAAAAATTAAGAAGAGAAATAATAAGGTGCATAATTTGGATAGCATTGTTGAAAACAGTATCAATGACAAGCAGTATTAGAATCTGGTGACTGTGCTGCTGAGATACAATGCGGAAGAAAGAGGAAGGTGAAAAATACAGACACTTTAGGTGACTAATTAGTGTGGTGGGGTGAAATGTGGCTTTCTGTATTCTTATCAGTATAGAATGTTTGCACATAACTGATACAAGACACTAGTTCTGTAAATTGTAGTACATGAGTGATCCTCACTTGCATTTTAAATGTTCAGAAAAGTTTTAGAGAACGTTTCACTGAATACACTGTGTTTTCTATACCTAGAATAAATTTGCTTCCAGTTTGTGGAGATTTTATTTTTAAATTAGGTGTTGAAAATGCAGATCAAAAGTATGGTATGTGTAGTCAATCTAGGGACTAGAAGTCCAGACCAGGTGAGTTACTAGAATGGTGGTAGTCATGTGTTTAGTGCTTGTGGTGATTAGTTTACACTTCAGATAAATAATTAGGCTCTAACTGGAAACTGCTGGCCGCCTTCTCTGCCTCCAGTTTCTTATGAAAGTTGAAAGCTAGATTATGTATTGGGATGTTGAATATGTAGAAAACTAGTGGTGTTGCAGTCTGAGTGCTGATACAAACTTCAGTCAGTATGAAAATAATACTTGCTTTCAGGTCTCTAGAGCATTAATGTGCTGTACCCCAGGATTTAGTAACTAAATGACATTTTTAAAGTGTTCTGCAAACTTAATTATCTTTTATAAAAATCATCAGATATTAAAGCCAGGAGGAGATTATTTGATGTTATGTTGGTATTGAATCAGTCAACATGAGTATTATAATACCTTCCCCTTGGTTTTGTTAGCAGTGGAAAATGCTGCAATAAAATCAGAAAAATTGAGGTTTAGAATTGTCTTGTGTAAAGACTGAGAAGAGATAATGTGCCACAATCAAGATTTTCTGTAGTAACAGCAGTGCAAAACATCCTAACAATTGCTGTACATATATATACACAATATAGTTTTAACAGTGAACTGTTCTGAATAACCTGGGTTGCTTCTGCAAGGAGAACCTCCAATACTGTTGTATATCACGGAATATCGTCATACTTCTATTGCATCCAGAGCAGCTCACTGAGTTCTCTGGGTAACTGACCTTCAGCCACCAAAGACACTAGATGCTCCTTGGAATCTAGAGTCTTAATCTATGACGGCAGCATTTCTGATCTGTGTAGAAATGTTTTTATAATCACAAGTACACAGTAATTTGCTATTTGGAAGAGAGACTCAGATGTCCCATGTATGTGATTTTATTTTTTTCCCCTAAGTGCAGCTTCCTGGCACTGCTTGTCCTTTCTCTTAGATTATCTCAGTCTTGTTTACTAGTCACAGCTGAGAAGGAGAAAATTGGATGAATATTTAGAAAAAAACACCTAAAAATAAAACAACAAAAAAGCCTCACATCTCCAAAAATCCCTACATCTCTATATTCCTGTCTCGTAGAAAGAATATTTACATTCTAAATTACCTAGAAGGATAATCTCAAGATAGGAATGTGAAAATTAGGGTATATTCTGCAAGGTCTAAAATAAGCATCACTCTGCTGAATTCTGCCATAGTAAAAGGGCAACCTGCAAGGCTCAGGAGACAAGGAGACAAGCCGTATCTGGTGGAACCACAGTCAATATGTGCACTGACATGGTTGTGACATCGAGCTCATTGTCCGGGCTTCAGTATTACAGAACTGAAGAGGATATCTTCAGACACATTCCACTGGACATGGGCCTGCTGGCAAATATAAGCACTAAGTTTAAACATGTTCCCAAAACAAAGATGGAGACCGAGACCTGTGATAATTCCAATTTCTCTAGTTCAAGCAGGGCTTGGGGCACTGTAAATCTCAACAGACCCAGGAGCTGGATTAAGGTGTAGTCTGTGGTAAGGACTGATGTTTCTCCTTGACAAGTTCTTTCAAATCCAACAGTTCTGGAGATTGAGAGCAACCTTACATTGGTTGTGTTAGGTTTTTAATTTATTTTTCTTTTAGTGACATTTTCTTCTGTACGCTATGACATTCTCACAGGTAGCACAGTATTTCACCTTCAATGCTAATGAAAAACAACCAACCTCCCAAACAAACCAACCAAAAAAAAAATTATGAAACCCTGTGATACAACACTTGATTGATTGTAATACCAGAATAGGTCCTCTCAGTGTCTGACCCAGCCCTTATTTGAGTTTCAGCCTGTGCTGAACTCTTATTCAGTACTGCTCTGGTTATGGTTGCAGTGTACGCAAACAGCTCTGCAAAGGAAAACAGTCAA